GCGAAGCGAGAAGAGAAGCGAAGCGAGAAGCAAAGAGAAGCGAGAAGCAAAGAGAAGCGAGAAGCGAAGAGAAGCGAGAAGCGAAGAGAAGCGAGAAGAGAAGAGAAGTGAGAAGCAAAGCGAAGCGAAGAGAGGAGAGAAGAGATTGCTACAGTCTCTGGGAAAGTCAGTTTGTGTTTGCTTTTTAGCATACGACTCTTGACTACATTGCAGATAATGCATAAATACCAAAAATTTTTTCAGGGCAGCACAGTGACAAGGATGAACCTGAGGCAAATCACTCACATAGATACCAGATCTCCTTTGTATTTCCCATTTAGCAAGGATTACAAGAAGCTCAAAGTCTGGGGTATCATGTGCCAATTCAAATAACACTGATTCTCTGGTGTTGCAGGTTTTGCCATGTTCCTCCCCCACCCCCTGCAATATTTCCAGGCCGTATCCTAGCTTAGGGTGCTTACTCAGTGACTTTACCTTACACGCTGCACCAGAGGTTGTCACCATGCACTCATAACGCACTACACATCATACACACAAAGCGCTAGCTGTTGCTTGGTGGATCAGGGGACAGCAATAATATGTATATAAGGAACGAAAGTAAAGATGTGGGGAAGGAAACTATTTTGATGCAATGATAGCAAGGAATGAGAGCTTCCTTCTCTTAGCTGATCATTTCTGATCTTGCAGACCCAGGCCTGAGCTTCTGCTGTTTTGACAGCACACTCCTTCCTGACTCTGAGCTGTCCCACCTTTGTCCCCTTGAAGCCAAGACTGACAACACTGATAAGTCATGCTGAGCTTGAGGGGGCATAACACAAACTTCTTAAAACTTCCACTGAGCCCTTCAATTAGTAGTTTACATCAGACCTCTGCAATACACATGTAGACACAGGTCACTGTAACTGCAAATTACACAACATGTGTGCTTGCCTCTTAGAAACCCAGAATTCAAGCAGCAAGGCAGAAACGAGCAGCAAATCACGGAAGGAAAGGACAGCTTTCACAAAGGAGCAGCTACGGGAGCTGGAAGCTGAATTTGCCCACCATAACTACTTGACAAGACTCAGGAGATATGAGATAGCTGTGAATCTGGATCTCACCGAGAGACAAGTACTTCCTGACCCTGCCTCCCTAGCTTCTTCTTCCTCCCCCACAACCTCTCCTTAAAGCTAAAAACCAGACACATTACTCAAGGGTGTACTTTTGCAATGGTACAGAGTTTTTTTTAATACAAAGCCTCCATATTCTTTTAAAACCATTTGTTACAAATTTCTATAAGTAGTGAATAAATTAATTATGTTTATTTAAACTAAAGACACATTCGGGAAGAACTGATATCTACTGAGCTATTGTTTACCACTACTCATTGGTACATACTGATATGTCAAGACTTACAGATGGAATGTGGATATCACCTTAGACTGCAATTACGAGGAAATTATTAGAATGATGTATGTTTGATACATGCATTTTTCCTGGGTCAGGTGATATTTCAAAGAGATAAGAAAGACAAAGATGTAGAGTTCCATGGAAAGACATATTTCTGTTCTCTCATTGTAATCTCAGCCAGGGTTTCCTTATCAAAGCTTAGTGGACAACAGAGGAATTGTTCAATTAAGGGAAGCAAGTTACAATTCCTGAAGCATTAGGTTGGATGGACTAGATGTTAAAAGACATTAGATACACTGTGCCCATTAGATTGGCATGCTTAGTTGACACAGGACAGATTCTAGGCAAAGCACATGTACTGCATTTGCAGGTTCCAGCTGTCTGGAAAAGTTTAGAAAGAATTGTTCCTGCTTTTGTTAGAAAGGTGGATTACTTAAACTTCTACGATTCCTTTCACCTTTTCTTCTAGAATTCCACAAAACATCTGTCTGTTGATGCACACATATACACATTGGTCTGCTTGTACAGTTCAGATTGAGGCAATAAGTAATTATTTCCTTTTTATCACCCAGGTTAAAGTATGGTTTCAAAACAGAAGGATGAAGTGGAAACGTGTTAAAGGCGGGCAACCAGTGTCCCCACATGAACATGACACAGAAGATGTGGACTCTGCTGCCTCCCCCAGCTCTGACTAGTCCTTGCAGCAATGGGAGAGGAGTATGGAGAAAGTAATTGATCAGAAGGTGGATGCAACACTGCTCCGGGTCAGCTACACCACAAGATGATCCTGCTTGCAAAACCTGTAGCCCCGAGTCTTTTAAGGTGTATGATGCTTTAGGTTACAGAGGCAACTAAAGAACACGGGGCGGGGCGGACGAAGCCATAGGAGGGCATGATTTTTATTTTTGTCTGAATGAATTTAACTCTCTCTGGAATTGTCTTACTACCACAGATGTGTCTTCAGAATAAAAGCTAATGAACACTGAATATAAAACAGGAGTAGTGTTGTATAGGATCTCAAACACTCAGAAAATACAGGTTGTTGATCAGCGAGTGATAATGCAACCGTATGCTCATCCAGCCTTTCCCTGGTCACATCTATTCATTCTGCATTTGGACTTGACCAGGCACATTTTCCTTGTACCTCATTTTAGAGAAAGAAATACTTTGATAGTCAGTGACTTTTCCTGCAATACAAATTGAACGCCTGTATGGCTGGGCAGCAGGAGACCAAAACTATATACACAGAGTTCTGCTTACCGGTTTCAGAAGAGGTGGCTTTCACATTGACAGTCCAAGAGGACAGGTGCCTTGTTGATGGTAGCAATTTTCAGAGGGACATTTTTTCCAAGCTTACTGTAAATCCTGAAATTAAATTCCTAGATCTCAATTTCAAATATTTTTTCAAAGCAGTCATTACCAAATGCCACAGCAGGTACAGCAGAGATTAAGCCCTCAGCACAATAGTTATCACCATTTTGTTTTCAAATGTTTAAATCTATTTAACTAAACAAAAACTACTCTTTAGTGCTGCATTTCTTTTGGAATCTCTCTGGAAACTAGTGATTTTCTTTGTGGATTCGGGATTGTCAGAAGTAGAAAGCAATGGTGTCTGGAGTGATTTAACTGAGCTTACTGTCTACAAATTCTGTTTTAATTTTTCATTGGAGACAAAACTTTCCTCCAAATAAACATATACATGTGGGTATTTAAACTACATATAAAAACATTTGTTAATCTAGGTATTGCATGTATTTACAGTCATTACTTACTGCCTTCTAAGTCAGTATCTTTATTTATGGAGTTTACAATTAAGAGATCAAGTTAGCCCTTTTTGCAAACTTCCCATTAATAGGTTATTTTTTGTGACTTTTTTTTTGTGTTTGTAATTCATCAAATATTTCTTACAAATGAATAGTATCTGTGTTTTTCAAAACATGTAAACATATTGTGTCTTTGATCACATCTGCTTTTGACAGTCTTTGAGGACACCCAAGAAACTTACCAGCAATCATTGAAGCCACTAAAGCTGACACGGCCAACTGCCCAAACTTCTAATATAAATAATACGTAAAAGAAGCTTTCCAATGCAGAATTATAAACTGCCATGGCACCACCAGAAGTCTTAAGAACACTTCCACTTGAAATTATCTGCTGTTTCAGCCAAAATTGTAGCAGCAATAAGCTGAGCTGTACAGAGTGCTATTGTGTGGGTTACAAACCTGGTGTTAACAATAGGTTAATAACCTCACTATTCAGGTTGCATTAAAGTAGGTGGCTAACAAAGTTGCCTGTGCACAGGTGAGAAGAAGCTGCAGTTTACTGTAACTTTAAAAGCAGAAAATGTCTATGGCTCTGTTTAAACCTTTGTCTTCTGATTAAGCTTCTGACTGAACTCACTAGTTTAGCTCTTGGCAAACACTGAAGAAAGCTGGTTTTGTGAATAACTCTGGTGCTGACTCAGACATCCTACTCTCATCTCCAGGAACGCAAAACACTGTGGGGCGGGAGTTCTTTGTTACTCATTTCCTTGCAAGCTCTTAAGCAAATTGCACACTGTACATCACCTCCCTGCCTCCTCCCTATTGCGGTTAGAAAGTTTGCAAGCTGCAGAAGCAGCTTATTTTGTGATGAAAACTTTTGGGCTCTTGGTTACCAACATAAACCAAACTCAGCTCCTCACCCAGAAAGAAGGCTAATAAATCTTCACTTTCAAGGAAGTTGTCAACAGTAGTATATTGCATCCTAATTCACGTAAAAGCTAGTCAATGGATCCCAGGCTGTACTCATAATTACAGCTCCTAAACAGTTCTTGCTCTGGCTCTTAAGAAATAAGGTATAAGTCACCTGTGAGATCATTTTGTGCCCAGGCAGTTTCTGCATGAAACCATCTGCTTATTCTAAGACTTTAGTGTTTTGTGAAGGAACATTTCACTCCTGACATCAAAGCATTTGACCCCTGAACCTCTGGTGCCAAGAATCTTTCAGGCAAAGTCTGTTGTCTGGGAGCAAAGTCTCTGACCTGCAATTATTTTTCACAGAAATACACATCAGGCTTTATTCTCCTCACGGAAAGGAAGTAAGCTACCTGGGGATGTTTGGCAATGCCTCTCATGCCTGATTCTCAATAAATAATCTGAGCACACCATCACCCACATAACATCAGAAACGTCTGGCAGGTCTTCCACAGGAAGCATATGCAGGCAGAGAAGCAAGACTTTCTGCCTACATAAGACCAGTGCAAATAGCCCACAGGGAATGGGGATGTCTGTATAAACATAAAAATATGTGCTGTAGCCCTTTATATCTGTGCTGCCTCTTCTAAATGCAGGAAAGAAGCACTTTCCTTAGAGTCATAGATTTTACGGACATTTTATCTAACTAGCCAGATGCCAACATAGCATAGGCCTTAATTCATTTTACATAGTTCCTGCGTCCCATGACTCCTCTGTTGTTAGCCCTCGGTTTCTCTGCATCTTCCTACAGCATTAAGCTAGTGATTTTTTCCAGTTGATGGAGCTACTTGGATAACTTAAAAATAACCCAAATGTGACCAAGAGAGCATGTACTTCTGTGTGTACACTTGATGAAGTCATAGACAGATCCACAACCCCACTAGGAAAAATTTAGATGTCCATAACTTTCAAGAATCACTTATTTTCAGGTCAAATACGCCATCATCACCACTACTCCCACTGCCCCACCCCCCTAGTGCTGTTTGGCACTAGAGCTTCTGAGCACCTCCTGTTCTAAAGCCAGACTCAGTAACAGGGTCCCAGAGAGTTCGACACTTGCATCCTGGGTCTTGTTTAAGATTTTAAGATAATAGACCACTCTGGTTTTATCATTTTCAAGCAAAGTGGAGATATTTGGGGATGGAGTTCAGTTTCAAGCAGTGATATGTCAGCTCCAGCTATGAGATTTCCATTGCAACTTAGAGACAAATCTAGTTTGGTCTGTATGAAATTGTGAGTAGATTATGGAATTATATGAATTGACATGCAAATTCCGTCACACAAAATTAAATGGTCATGAGAGGACCCTGCATTCCAGTTGGCTTAATCCAGGGAAACACCAGTCATTTCAAAGATCAACAGAAAAATGTGGCATTATATATTTGGGATCCATCAGTGGAAGGCAGGACTACCACAGTTCTACTATTAGGGCAGTATACCTTCTAGAAAATACATGTTGGTGCAGCTTCTTACAGCAGATCGATCTAAAGAAGGTGGTAGAGCTTAATACAGCTAATACAGATGGACAGAAGATAATACACATTATCTTTTTGAAACTATAATAATTATAACACAATCACAAAAAGCAGCAGGTCTTAGGATGAGGATGACAAGGCAGTGCAGACCTTAGCAAATCTCAGGAATTTTCCAGAAGCCTGAGACAGGTCTCCGTCTTTAAAAAGAAGCTAACAAAGATTTGACAAAGGAAATTTTTAGAAAGTCCAAAAGGGCATCCAGAAAATGGTCGAGAATACTATTTTGATTGCACCTCTCAAGTTTCTATAAGGTTACACTTGAGCGCTTACTCTCTACTTTGACCTATAAAGGCTCTAATAAACCCTCAGGCAGTTTATCTTGCATAGGAAATGAGAGAAATCGTGCCGTGCTCACTGAGGCAGCTGTTCACATTTGGGTGGCAGGCATATGAACTTTAAGAGGTTCTCTCTCTTTTGACATTATAAACAAAGCTAAGCCGTACGGGTGAGCATTGCTGGGCACACAACCTGCTTAAGCCATCGCCCAAATTGTGAGTTCTGAAAATGAGAAAATGGAGCTCACACCTCTTCCAAGATGCTACTTTGACATATTCCCAAGAATTCCACACTGTGCTAGCAGATAGTGGATAGTAGTCACAAAATAAATGTAATGAAAAGAATCCCAACTATGAAGGAAACCTGTGAAAAAACTGGATGCTTCTGGAGAAGCAATTTGTCAAAAAAAAAAAAAAAAAGTAAAATGTAAAGACACACAGCAAAAGCACAACAGATATCTGTACATAGGTATACACATCTAGAGAGAGAGTGTGCACACAAGAAATATTTGGTCTGTGATGACTCCTGGAACTAAGAGTAATTCAATTTGACAAAAAAAAAAATAAAAATCCATATTTCACAAAAAAAAACCCCTCTTTCTTATTAAAAATCACTTTGAACTCTTCAGATAAAAGCAATTAAATTGGCGTTTAAACTCTTTTTTGAGACCTTTGATTTCTAGAGAAACAACATTGCAGCACCCTGTTTCAGCTCTTTGGAGGATAAACAGATCCTTTCAAGATGAGTTACACAAATCTAGGGTAGCTACCTGTATGAATTTTCCAACGGCCTGGCCTCTCCTCTTTATTCAGTGTTACTCTCTGTGCTGGCAGCGTCTCTAATCACACAGTTTACTGCTATGGTAAGGTGGGTCTCTAAGAGATGCACTGACGATGCTAGCCTAAGCTCCTGTGACAGGAAGTGCTCCAGATCAGACCTGACAAGGCAATCTTATTTTACTGAATAGTGAGACACGAGGCATCCCACACAGGATATGGCTGTGTTCTGTCAAACTATTTCAGTGTACATCTTGGCCAAGACAAAATCTAAATCTTTAGTTGTGGAGAGTTACTGTCTCAGCTGTTGCATATTTGGTTTCTGCATATCCTTTCTCATCAAGCTGGGTGGTTAGTATTGGATAAAACGGTG